TTACTGAGTTATGATTAGTATTTAAGCTGAGGATTCTTGTGCTCACTGACTCTCATGTACCAAGTATATTAAGCAGCTCATTGAAAAAAGAGAGAGAAGCCATGGATCACTGATATGTCATTCGTATGATTCTTAAACGATGGGAAGCATACGCGCAGCATTGCAGAAGTAAATCTGCAAATAATTTTCGTAGGTTAAAAAATGTAATGTCGTCATAAAAATAAAATTGAATGATTGTCGAAAGATAGGGAATTTAATGTTTAACGGCGGGCTTTTAAAATAAAAAAAAAAAGTTGTGGCAGCCCAAAAAACAGAGCGCTAAATATGAAATAGGGCTTCCCAATTTGCTGCACGAAGGAACATTAGTGACAAATATTGCTGATAAAGCTACTGCATTTCATAATTTTTTCAAGTCAGTATTTGTTTCTCGTGACCCTGTTTCTCTACAGCTTGTTGGCAATCAGCATACTACAGTGAAGCAGGTTGACCTCTCTGTTAGCGGTATTTTCAGGTTGCTTGACAATTTTGATAAATGACAAGCCTCTGGTCCTGGTAAAATTTTCCTTCGAGTGTTGCAACGTTGTTCTGGCGAAGTGGCAAAGTACCTCCGTGTTATATGCACTAAATCGCTTAAGGGGGGGAAACTACCCGGTAATTGAAATGTTGCTAACTTGGTGCCGGTTTTTAAAAGTGGAATGAAACCTTGTGTATGAAAGTAGAGGCCGATTTTACTTACCTCATTTTGTTGCAAGATACTTTAACGCTTCTAGTACTCAGCTTTAATGAAGCGCCTTAGTTTAACTGTGTTTCTGAACGATCATCAGGATGATGATCGTTCAGATCGTTTACCTTCTCATGTACGACGCAGTTCATTGAATTCTATTTTGATACCTTGAAAGAACTTGAAAACGAAGGTTGAATTGACTGCATAAGTTTAGATTTTCAAAAAGCGTTCAACATTTTATTTGGCTTCATACATCAAAAACTCGAAGCTGTAAAAATTGACATTGGGGTGATTACCTGGATTAGGGAATACTTGACTTTAAGAAAACATAATGTTGTGGTAAATAGGACATGCTCGGGCTTGCTCTTTGTTACATCTGGAGTGCTAATGTGGTCAGTTTTGTGGCCACTTTTTTTTTTTTTTTTGTTTATTCATAATATTTCTACTGGAGTTCAACCTAGAATACGCCTGTTCGCGGACGATTGGGTATTATACAGTACAGTTTCTGGTGAAGCGGATTCCACACAGCTTGTGTGTGATGTCAGAAGCAGAAAGACATAGCGCAAGAGTAATATGATCTCCTTGATTGTTAGTAAGTGCATTCACGTAAGCTATACTAAAAAATTAAAGAAATTATATTTGAGCACTTTCTTTATAGTGAACAAATCACAACAAAATCAACCTAAAAAACATACGAGTGATCTTTTCTGAAGGCGCCTTGTGGTCAACTCAAGTAAACAATGTAATTGGGAAGGCGGTTAGGTCTTTTAGATTTTTTCAAAATGTAACCTCAAACATGTCAGTAACGAGGTTCAAGAAGTCGCATATCAAGGATCGTATTCCGATCCTAAAATATGGATGCCCTGTGTGGGATTCGGTTTACAGGGTTTATTTCAATTCACTTGAACACATTCAATCGGTCGCTGCTCGGTTTGTCATGGGGACGTACGATCGCTTCTCAAGCACAACAGAAATGTAGCCAGAGTTGAACTGGGTTTCTTTGGAAGAGTATCTCAGACTACTTCGGCTTAAGCTTTTTTTATTCAATTGATCGTAATCAGACAGGAACTTCTGCTTCATCATGCTTACATCCACCAAATTAAATATTACAGCGAACAGTTCACTCTTGCAAAGTTTAACCGTATACCACCAGGAAAAATATATATAAACACTAAATTTTTGCGCGTACCACATAGAACTGGGATTTTTTATCAGCGGAGGTGGTATGCCGCGAGATTCTTGTTTTCTCTTTTAATGCAGTGTGCCCACGCAATAATGCCCCAGAGGAGCTGCGGAATTTTCATGACAAAAAGAATGAAGAAAGAATAAAGAATAACACTGAACAGATCTACAAAATTTAGTATACCGTTAGGAGGTCGGCGCAGTACCACAAAAGCGATAAATATCTTCATAATTCGCCTACGCCTGCAACTTAAAAAAAAAAATTCCTGACTCGCAACACTAGTCTTTTTGTGTGTGTGTGTGTGTGTGTGTGTGTGTGTCTGTGTCTGTGTGTGTGTGTGTGTGTTGTTTTAGGTTAGGGGAACAAGCTCAGAAGACAACGAGGGCACATCAACCAGACGCCATTACGTCACTTCCGTGACTCTTTTAAAACACGCATGTAACTTAGCCGGCCACCAGTGCCGCCTTGTCCCATGCCGTGGAGAGCGAATGAGACGTTAGTCGAAAACAACTTCGTGGCTATTGTCGATGTCGCTATGCAGCCGCCTGATGCACAAATCGAAGCTTCGTCGCTCAAGTACCGGGGAAGTGTCCTGTTTGTGTTGAAACCCGCGCATCCATCAACAAAGCCATAGTGAGCGCAGGAACAGAGGCAGGTGGTTCATGGTCAGGTGACGATACTTCTGTCGCAAGGCCCGTACACAAGGTAAGGGCCTGCAGAGCGAAGAGGAGCGAATCATTTGGTGTCCGCACGCCAGCGATGCTGACCTGCCCATTTTGTTTCACGCGCTCTTTACTGGAATGGTGTTTGAGACTTTTTTTTTTCCCGTTTAAAACTTTAGGGTAGAAAGAACAAGTGAGAAACTTTCTTGCTCAGGGAAGGTGCGGCTCTCACATAAATTATTTATAACTTGGCGCAGAGGACAAGAAAACTTTTTACGTTAGCTTTATTCTTTTCTCCGGCACGTCAATCTCCACTTAATCCAGTTACGCTCTAAATTGAACTCGCTCTTCAAAATGCTTACGAAATCCAAACACGCGCATTGGCGCGCACACACGCACACGCAACAGAACACACACACACACACACACATGTGGGAACACCAACAGTTAAAGGCGAATGCAGATTGACCCTGGTTCACAAATAGCCTTAGGAAATTAAATAATAAGTAAACGGCTTTTTGTAGAGGCTAAAAAATGTAGTCTTACTTCGCGAAGTATATTTTTTTCAGAAAATTCAAAAGTAGCAAGAGAAAGTGAAGGCTAACTATGTTAGCAAGACATACTGAAACGAGTAATAACCAATTCTCGTGAAGTTTGTAAACTATATCATGACGCTCTGCCTTGACCGTTCAACGAGCTCAACAAAATGCATACAAAGCTAGGAACGCTAACTTCTTTACTAACTATTTCGCCTTTGTGTTTAGTTAAAAAAAATTACTGCTACCACTCAATCAATTTGTAGAGCGCTTGACGTCTGCTGTGAACCCATCATCTTTAGCCTTACGGTATCTTGGATGTAATCGAAAAGCTCTCTCGAAGCTCAACCAGTGGCGATGACAGAATTTGTCTTCGAATTCTCAAGCTAACAAAATACATACCTTGCCGTCTTTTCTATCCCTTAAACCAAGAGCCACTCCACTTAAAAAGAAAACACTCCCCACCGACTGGAGAGTCCGGAGAAGATTACTTATTTTTAAGAAGTGAAACAAAAATTACTTATTTGATTGTCGACCCATATTACCAAACTGTGCCTTGCAAAATTATGGAATATGTAGCATATTCCATCATTATGAACTACTTATTACAAAATCATTAATTATGTAACAATTAACATAATTATAGGAATGGAAATTCGTGTTACACCAGCTATTTTACTCAGCTACAGATTTTGGTAACAACTTTCACTCGCCTATACTCGCTAACGTAATTTTCATTGATTTCTGAAAAGCATTCAACACGGTTTCTTGCCCACGTCACTTGTATAATATTTCTGAACTAAACATACACCTTTCTAGGTATTATCCCTTGGTTAGCTCCTGTTAAATAATAATAATAATAATATTACCATTAATACACCTACTACTTCTACTAATAATAATATTGGTAATAATTTAATTCAAGGGCTTCAAGTATATTAATATTGTATATCTTTCTTTCTTTCTTTATTTGTTTTCCTTCGGGCAGAGCCCGAAAGAAGGGCCAGTGCAAAAGGCTAAAGAAGCCTGACGTGGCACTGGTCCCTTATAAAGTCACTGGATCGGGGGAAAGTAGCGCCAAGCTGAGGAACGGCGCGGAGCGGCGCGAGGTCGCCGCCATCTTGGTCCGAAGGAGGCGGCGCGTTACGCGGTTGCATGGTTGCATGCTGCGCTTCGCTGGGAAGAATTGAGGGGGGTTCCGGGGTTTTCACGTGTGCCATTATTTTCTCGGACACTATGTCGCGTATTTTAGAAGTATGGCCAGGCAAATTTAAACAGTTGTTCTACATGCGGGAAGAAACTAAGCCAAGTTGGCCAGAAATCGAGGGCTTCGATGCCAGCATCTTGCCTCACAAGACACCCTCACGGATTGCACTTCCACCAGCTCTTCGTATGTAGAACCGATAGTTTCTTCAAAAGGAGCCAGAAAAATATTACATTTATATATTATGGCATTAGTAGCGCTGTAAAACAAAGAATGAGCAGGCTGGCTAAAAGCGCGTGAGATCAGCGCGGTATTGGCTTTTCGTTTTAGCTCTTCCTGCTTTATTCTCACACAACGGAATATAAACCACTGCCGCTCCTGTCGCTTCTTCCCGTCGATCTTATAAAAATTTTACAAAAACGATCTGCATATCAAATTACTCTGTAACGGCAAACCTCCGAGGTGCATCATGCTTAAATAACTGAAATGCTGCACGGCAGTGTGAAGTTGACTGCAGTGACAATCTTTTAAGTTTTGTGATTCCGGTACAATTAGGAAGTCACTAAATTATTATTCCTATTACCCATTCATGTCCCCCAAGCTACGAAAGAAAAAGTGAAAACACAACTCGGAAGGAAAAATTAGATGTGTATTTATTTTGCTGCATTCAATGCTAAGAACACCTCACGAATTCTGAACATTTCTAAAACAGCAGTAACACATCATATATTGCACAAGCCACGATGACAAACACAGGCATAAAAAAAAAAAGTGATCATGACATGGCCACATATAAAAAAAAAGGAAATATGGCAACAGGTACTTGACAGTGTGAGTTCTGAACATTTCTGGCACAGCAATAACACATCAGATACTGCACAAACCCAAACGACTAACACAAGGATAAAGAAAAATGTTATCATGAAATGACTGTGTATAAAAAAAGGAAACATGGCAAGAGATATGTTAACATGGGGGAACAATTTCTCCAAAAAGTGACATGCCAGTACTTGCTTAATATTACGACAAGTAAAGATTAAAAATATCATGCAACTAGTTAAAGCTTCTCCTTTACTGGTATCACACATTTGCAAAATATCACATGCCCGAGAAGTTTGTAAGTCTAGCTTAAGGCGCCAAACACAAATTCTGCGACTCCTCCAGAAAGTGACATCCACTACTTGCTTAATATTAGAATTAGCTAAAATAAAAAATAAAAAAAATCATACAACCAGCTAAAGCTTCACATTTACTAGTTTTACAACTTTCTAAAAATATCACAAGTTCAAGGTGCTGGAAAGACTTTGTAGCCACCATCAAAAATAAATTCCTTTACTCCTTCATCCCACCTGAATAAGACTGTTAACGCACAGCATTGACACAACCTCGCATTCCTATACTACGACTTCCACACCTGGTGTTGTTCTGCTTTGCAGCATACCGTTCATTGCTTTTCCGCAAAGCAAAGCGTAACCTCATTAGCAAGAAAGCATCCACTAGCTTCTGCGCCACCCCATGACATGTTGGGAGATGGTCACGTGAAAACTCGCACAGCGCTTGAGCAGACAAATTGGCAAGGTTAGCAGTTCCGTCTACAATGCTAGCTTCTTGTGAACGAAAGATCACCTCACACTTCTCAAGCATAGCAAAAACAGCTAACGACACCATACAGAGTGGATTTTGTTCACTGGTGTCTCTGTAGGACTTGAACTCAGTTAGCGAAGCATTTTCTTTGTTTTCTGTGTCAGTCAGTGCCGACCTGCAAGTTTCACACAGCTTGTACTTGCCACAAACTGCCTTCACCGTGTATCCACAGAGGTAATGCAGTGATTGTTTGTCAGTGGACTGCAGTTCACCCATCGCCGCTTGGCTGTCGGAGAGGACATCGACCACCTGGGCGAGCATCTGGTCGTCATCGTCAGGAAGCTCCCATGCGGACTCGTCTTGAATCGCTGAGGCGCCGTCCTGTTGCAGCACCTCCTCGCTTGGTGATTCTGCTTGGCGTTTCGAAATGAAATCTGCGAGGTATTCAGCATCGTCCATCTCATAGTTCCCCGTCCTACAGGGCTGGAAGAACTGTGAGAGCGTGATTGTGCGCAAGGCAGTCTTGAACTGCAGAGGTCGGGGGGTTGCATTCTTTTGCCTTATCACGCTGAAAAGGTTTTCGAGGGCGTCTTGCGTCAGTCGGCTGAGGAACAGGTACTTAAAGTTGTACTGCGTCAAGTACAGGTTCTGCAAAGACAGAGCTGCAGTTGTCGAAATCACGACGCCTGTCTGTACTGGCTTCCAAGAAGGGCTTTTGCCTGGCAGATGAATGGTCATCTTCTTGAAGAGATCCAACACCTCGCTCAGGAACTCTACGGCATCATCATGTTTCCGAGAGTTGAGCTCACTCATAGCAAGGCTCTTGGTACGAGAGGTCATTAAGCGGAACCACTTATAAACTGTCTCGAGAAACCACGCCGTGGTGACTGCAGCAGGCGACATCTTGCCTTCTTTAACAAGCACTCGAATTGCTGACCCGGTGCTATGATTCAGGACAGCTAGGGCCGAAGACACACTCATTTTTTCGTAATGGTTCGGGTCTAGATGCTTGTCCTTGAGGTGCGGAGCAAGCTTCAGTGCACTTGTCCCGTCCCTTTGGGCCACGTCCCGAACATAGCTGAGAGACACCTGCATATCGAAATGTTTTCATGATCATTATCCATCCCTATTAGGGCGAATAAAAGTATGCATGGGCATCTATGCCCCCTTCTCCCGTATGCCAACCCCCAACCCCCCCCCCCCCCCCCCGACTGTCAGCATATAACCAGGATAAAGCTGTCTTTTATATTTGCAATGATTAGCCGCTAGTGATAATTGACGAGACAGAAAATTTACCTCGGACGTTGGGAGTTTGTTCCTCTCCACAATTTCATCTGGAATGGAGATGAGCTGTCCGCGTACCAGATGGCCTCGAAGGTTCTTCAGCACGTGCGGTGCGTCGGCTATGAAAAACAGCTGTCTGTCCGACCCATTGGCACACGGGTGGGCACACGAGACTGAGGTCTTGCCATGCTTCGTAGCACCAATGCCACAAATGCTCCAGATGGCCTGGTTCCCTGGGCCCCTATCTGTGATGATTGCATCAATCCGAATTCCGATGAACTCGCACTCCTTGATCAAGGTGAAGATGAAGTTCCTCATCTCTAGCTTGCAGAATGACGTCCCTGAAAAAAAGTTTATTTTTAATGCCTACACCAGCAGTTGCTGTTGTATCAAATATTAGGGTGAATTTTTTTTTTCTAAAAAGTAAAATCAAGGTTAATGCCTGTCTTTCAATCTGCCTGCCGGTCATATGTCAAGCATTTTAAAGTAGTTTTTTGCCTTTTTACATTATTTTCATTTTAATTCTAAAGTAGTTTCACTCAACATTTAACAATGAACCTAGCACCAATTTATCTGCAGGATAGATGTCAATTTAGTTTGTGAAAAATGGCTCGCTACCTGTTAGGTGGTATGCCACAGTCTGCTTCCAGCGTGAGGACATCCCACCAAGCATAAAGACCATAGCATGTGTTGCACGTCCATCGGTGCAGGTGGCCTTTGGGCCTAGTTTGGTGCTTAGCTTTCCGATGAGTCCTTTCACAGAAGGATCATAGTCCGTGCCTGCGGTGATCTGCATCTCATCAATCATGAGGGCTGCGTTCCGTTCCTCAGGTAGCATTGTAGAGACTTTGGCTTTGAGTGATGGAAAAAGTTCAGTCAGGATGCCTGGAATTCAAGTATATGCATAAACTATTAGAACTGGATGCAAAAATTTTCTCGGAGCTAAGAAAACAAATATAGAGAAGCACTGTACTATTTTTAATCTATAATAGGAAGCAGGACTGCAATAGGGGGAAAACTTACCAGGCTTAAACTTGACATGCTCTATCTTTCGCTGAAGTGTGCGGACACTGGGCAACGGCACAACATTCTCATTGATGCACATGTACCCTTTGTTGCCACATGCACAACGCAGCTTCATAGCCATCTGGACAGTAGCATCTGACCATTTTCCACCACGCATGCCATCTCTTCTGATGCACTCAACCTGAATAGAAATGAAAGCGACACAGAACACCTCATCTGAATTCATGAGTAACCACAATATTGACATGACCAAATATTTCAGCTTGCTTTGTTGTCTGAAACACAATCTCAATATGATTGCTCAGAACAATAAATTATGGCAAGCATTTCATCAGCATGAAACAATTAACCAGAATAGTTCTGTGCACTGTTGCGACATATAGTCACACTTGAATGGCACATAGACGGCTCCAATATCCCGGTTGCATGTGCAAACAAAACAACCTGCAAAGGTAGCTTAAACCTGTGCATTTGCTTGTGCTGAACACAACCTATAAGACTCCTTATGGAAATGAATATTCTGCCCCTGGGGATTGCTAAAAAAACAAACACCCTTTTCTTTCTGTCTTCGTGAATATGTGAATATAAGAGTTCATTCCGCACTTACTTGATCATCCGCCAGGAGCATTCGAGGGTCACGGAGAAGATTTTCTTTGTCTTTCTGCAGCTTTCTTGCTAGTCTCTCTGAATTTTGAAGCTTTCTTTCAAGTTCCTTTATTCGTTCTTCATGAATGAGGCACGCTAAAACAAAAAAAAAAAAAAAACATGCATGTCTTAATATATGAGGATAACTGCAGATTACATGCTAGAAGAGGTAGAAAAGGTCATGTTTATGCAATCGAGCCAAATAACAATCTTCTCTACCTTCCGTCACCGCAGGGGTGTGTCCGTCCTCCATGGCCGGGCCCACAGTTTGCAGGTCTCCGTCACCTGCCAAGACAAACAACACGAGCTTAGTATTTTTGTATCAGGCGCATTGACGAAAGGAGCATTTGTCAGTCGTCTTCGAGTCTTAGGACAAACTTCCAGCCATTGGTGCCACAATGAAGGGAGTTTGGGACATCTCGATCGACTATTAATGGGGAAACTGCTTCTGGGAGCACATCATTTGTAGACATCAGAGTGACAAAACTGAACCAAACTTTAGACAGCATGTCGTGTTTACTCCAACGTTTGGTGACTGAGTTATTGTCGGTTGGCCTTCTTCCGAAGGCATTTAATTCTGTCGCCCTAGGATGACAGGGGAAAACAGGTGACCACAGGGAATCGCAGAGCTGATTTACACGACCAAATTCATCTAACACACCTTCCATTGTCGCAGAGGTGTGTCCGTCCTCCATGGCCGGGCCCACAGCGTGCAGGTCCCCGTCACCTGTCAAGACAAACAACACGAGCTTAGTATTTTTGTATCAGGCGCATTGGCGAAAGGAGCGTTTGTCAGTCGTCTTTGAGTCTTAGGACAAACTTCCAGCAATTGGTGCCACAATGAAGGGAGTTTGGGAGATCTCGGTCGACTATTAATGGGGAAACTGCTTCTGGGAGCACATCATTTGTAGACATCAGAGTGACAAAACTGAACCAAACTTTAGACAGCATGTCGTGTTTACTCTCCAACGTTTGGTGACCGAGTTATTGTCGGTTGGCCTTCTTCCGAAGGCATTTAATTGTGTCGCCCTAGGATGACAGGGGAAAACAGGTGACCACAGGGAATCGCAGAGCTGATTTACACGACCAAATTCATCTAACATACCTTCCATTGTCGCAGAGGTGTGTCCGTCCTCCATGGCCGGGCCCACAGCGTGCAGGTCCCCGTCAACTGTCAAGACAAACAACACGAGCTTAGTATTTTTGTATCAGGCGCATTGGCGAAAGGAGCGTTTGTCAGTCGTCTTTGAGTCTTAGGACAAACTTCCAGCAATTGGTGCCACAATGAAGGGAGTTTGGGACATCTCGATCGACTATTAATGGGGAAACTGCTTCTGGGAGCACATCATTTGTAGACATCAGAGTGACAAAACTGAACCAAACTTTAGACAGCATGTCGTGTTTACTCCAACGTTTGGTGACTGAGTTATTGTCGGTTGGCCTTCTTCCGAAGGCATTTAATTCTGTCGCCCTAGGATGACAGGGGAAAACAGGTGACCACAGGGAATCGCAGAGCTGATTTACACGACCAAATTCATCTAACACACCTTCCATTGTCGCAGAGGTGTGTCCGTCCTCCATGGCCGGGCCCACAGCGTGCAGGTCCCCGTCACCTGTCAAGACAAACAACACGAGCTTAGTATTTTTGTATCAGGCGCATTGGCGAAAGGAGCGTTTGTCAGTCGTCTTTGAGTCTTAGGACAAACTTCCAGCAATTGGTGCCACAATGAAGGGAGTTTGGGAGATCTCGGTCGACTATTAATGGGGAAACTGCTTCTGGGAGCACATCATTTGTAGACATCAGAGTGACAAAACTGAACCAAACTTTAGACAGCATGTCGTGTTTACTCTCCAACGTTTGGTGACCGAGTTATTGTCGGTTGGCCTTCTTCCGAAGGCATTTAATTGTGTCGCCCTAGGATGACAGGGGAAAACAGGTGACCACAGGGAATCGCAGAGCTGATTTACACGACCAAATTCATCTAACATACCTTCCATTGTCGCAGAGGTGTGTCCGTCCTCCATGGCCGGGCCCACAGCGTGCAGGTCCCCGTCACCTGTCAAGACAAACAACACGAGCTTAGTATTTTTGTATCAGGCGCATTGACGAAAGGAGCATTTGTCAGTCGTCTTCGAGTCTTAGGACAAACTTCCAGCCATTGGTGCCACAATGAAGGGAGTTTGGGACATCTCGATCGACTATTAATGGGGAAACTGCTTCTGGGAGCACATCATTTGTAGACATCAGAGTGACAAAACTGAACCAAACTTTAGACAGCATGTCGTGTTTACTCCAACGTTTGGTGACTGAGTTATTGTCGGTTGGCCTTCTTCCGAAGGCATTTAATTCTGTCGCCCTAGGATGACAGGGGAAAACAGGTGACCACAGGGAATCGCAGAGCTGATTTACACGACCAAATTCATCTAACATACCTTCCATTGTCGCAGAGGTGTGTCCGTCCTCCATGGCCGGGCCCACAGCGTGCAGGTCCCCGTCACCTGTCAAGACAAACAACACGAGCTTAGTATTTTTGTATCAGGCGCATTGGCGAAAGGAGCGTTTGTCAGTCGTCTTTGAGTCTTAGGACAAACTTCCAGCAATTGGTGCCACAATGAAGGGAGTTTGGGACATCTCGATCGACTATTAATGGGGAAACTGCTTCTGGGAGCACATCATTTGTAGACATCAGAGTGACAAAACTGAACCAAACTTTAGACACCATGTCGTGTTTACTCTCCAACGTTTGGTGACCGAGTTATTGTCGGTTGGCCTTCTTCCGAAGGCATTTAATTGTGTCGCCCTAGGATGACAGGGGAAAACAGGTGACCACAGGGAATCGCAGAGCTGATTTACACGACCAAATTCATCTAACATACCTTCCATTGTCGCAGAGGTGTGTCCGTCCTCCATGGCCGGGCCCACAGCGTGCAGGTCCCCGTCACCTGTCAAGACAAACAACACGAGCTTAGTATTTTTGTATCAGGCGCATTGGCGAAAGGAGCGTTTGTCAGTCGTCTTTGAGTCTTAGGACGAACTTCCAGCAATTGGTGCCACAATGAAGGGAGTTTGGGACATCTCGATCGACTATTAATGGGGAAACTGCTTCTGGGAGGACATCATTTGTAGACATCAGAGTGACAAAACTGAACCAAACTTTAGACAGCATGTCGTGTTTACTCTCCAACGTTTGGTGACCGAGTTATTGTCGGTTGGCCTTCTTCCGAAGGCATTTAATTGTGTCGTCCTAGGATGACAGGGGAAAACAGGTGACCACAAGGAATCGCAGAGCTGATTTACACGACCAAATTCATCTAACACACCTTCCATTGTCGCAGAGGTGTGTCCGTCCTCCATGGCCAGGCCCACAGCGTGCAGGTCTCCGTCACCTGTCAAGACAAACAACACGAGCTTAGAATTTTTGTATCAGGCGCATTGGCGAAAGGAGCGTTTGTCAGTCGTCCTCGAGCCTTAGGACAAACTTCCAGCAATTGGTGCCACAATGAAGGGAGTTTGGGACATCTCGATCGACTATTAATGGGGAAACTGCTTCTGGGAGCACATCATTTGGAGACATCAGAGTGACAAAACTGAACCAAACTTTAGACAGCATGTCGTGTTCACTCTCCAACGTTTTGTGACCGAGTTATTGTCGGTTGGCCTTCTTCCGAAGGCATTTAATTGTGTCGCCCTAGGATGACAGGGGAAAACAGGTGACACAGGGAATCGCAGAGCTGATTTACACGACCAAATTCATCTAACATACCTTCCACTGTCGCAGAGGTGTGTCCGTCCTCCATGGCCGGGCCCACAGCGTGCAGGTCTCCGTCACCTGTCAAGACAAACAACACGAGCTTAGTATTTTTGTATCAGGCGCATTGGCGAAAGGAGCGTTTGTCAGTCGTCCTCGAGTCTTAGGACAAACTTCCAGCAATTGGTGCCACAATGAAGGGAGTTTGGGACATCTCGATCGACTATTAATGGGGAAACTGCTTCTGGGAGTTTATCATTTGTAGACATCAGAGTGACAAAACTGAACCAAACTTTAGAAAGCATGTCGTGTTCACTCTCCAACGTTTGGTGACCGAGTTATTGTCGGTTGGCCTTCTTCCGAAGGCATTTATTTGTGTCGCCCTAGGATGACAGGGGAAAACAGGTGACCACAGGGAATCGCAGAGCTGATTTACACGACCAAATTCATCTAACACACCTTCCATTGTCGCAGAGGTGTGTCCGTCCTCCATGCCCGGGCCCACAGCGTGCAGGTCTCCGTCACCTGTCAAGACAAACAACACGAGCTTAGTATTTTTGTATCAGGCGCATTGACGAAAGGAGCGTTTGTCAGTCGTCCTCGAGTCTTAGGACAAACTTCTAGCAATTGGTGCCACAATGAAGGGAGTTTGGGACATCTCGTTCGACTATTAATGGGGAAACTGCCTCTGGGAGCACATCATTTGTAGACATC